TATTCAGTCCACGAACACTTAATAAATGTAAAGACAAATCAACTAATTCAAGACGACATTTCTTTCTATGTTAAATAGCTCTTATTATGTTCAATTCATATCGAGGCATTAGCTTGTTTACACATGCGTTGGAAAAAATAACATGATAACTCGATTTGTGTATAAAAGTGCCCTGGTTACAGAAAGGTTGGAAATACAAAATCAGGAACTCCTGATACCAGGAATAGTCAAAATCATCCGAGTTATATTATAAACATGTTTTTCCTTATTCAAAACCATCACTAAAAATGACCTATTAGAGAGGAAAAACAAATTTAAATACAAATAATAGAAATATCAAACATATTTATCTCGCGGAATTTACACAGGAGATAAGTGTCACAAGAGGCTCTCAAGAGCTTGAATCGCTCACCTGTTATTGTTTTGCTTAACACTTTCATCAATGATTATTTTTGCTTTTCAAAATATATTAATGAGTGGCTTAAAAATGTCATTTTAATGTTTATTGTATCTGTCATATTTTCTTCAAAATCAAATAAATGCATTTTACCTATATGTTCCATTTGAACCATAGTGTCTATGTTTCTTGACGTACAAGGAAATAAAATACAAAATTTATATACTAGATTCATTTGAGAAGATTTTTAAAGTTAAAAAAACATATACAACTTGTGTAAAATTGTCCTTAAAGGGCAGTAACTCCTTAAAAGTCAATTGCCATTTTGTTCATATAAAATTGTTTTGCTGATCTTACTTTGCTGAACATTTTTGCTGTTTACAGTTTATATTTTTCTTCAATAATATTCAAGATAATAATCAAAAACTGCACAAAAGTTCCTTAAAATAACCAATTTAGTGGCAGCAACCCAACAATAGGTTGTTCGGTTTGTCTGAAAATTTCAGTGCTGAAACATTTTTATTCTTTGTCAGATTTGCTCTAAATGCTTTAGTTTCTGAGATATAAGCCAAAAACTGCATTTGACCCCTATGTTCTATTTTTAGTCATGGCGGCCATGTTTGTTGATGGATAAAAAATTCGAATACAGTTCATAAACTAGATTCCTAAAGGAACATTCCTTTAAAGTTAGGCACAATAGATCCAGAGGAGAAGATTTTTAAATGTGAGCAAACTTGATGAACAAATTATGTAAAATTGTCTTTAAAGGGCAATAACTCCTTAAGGGGTCAATTGACAATTTTAGTCATATACACGTTTTTGTAGATCTTACTTTGTTGAACATAATTGCTCTTTACAGTTTATATCTATCTATAATAATATTCAGGATAATAACAAAAAACTGCAAAATTTCCTTAAAACTACCAATTTAGTGGCAGCAACCCAACATTGGGTTGTTCGATTCGTCTAAACATTTCAGGGCTAATAGATCTTGACCAATTGATGAATTATACCCAACATCCGATTTGCTCTAAAAGCTTTAGTTTTTGAGATATAAGCCAAAAACTGCATTTGACCACTATATTCTATTTTTAGCCACTGCGGCCATGTTTGTCGGTGGATCAAAACTTCGGATACAATTTATAAACTAGATACCCTAAGGAACATTTAGATAAAGTATGAAGGCATTTGGTCCAGTAGTTTCAGAGGAGAAGATTTTTTTAAAAAGTTTACGACGACGACGGACGACGACGGACGCCAAGTGATGGCATAAGCTCACATGGGCCCTTCGGGCCCCGGTGAGCTAAAAAGCCAATATGTATACTCATCAAAACACAATAAACTGATGAATATTATAGCCATTTCCTGAGGTAAACAACACGATGATAGATGATTCATGGAGTAATAAAAATGGCGTCTTTAACACCACAGTATAGGTCTTGATTTGGTTTGAAAATATTTTTGTAAAGCAATCGCGACAAATTTTTAAAGATATCAATGATTTAATAAGGGTTTATTCACAACGTCAAGCAAGCTTTTTTGAAAAGCTTAAATTTGTTGAATATCAATTTTATTTAAGAAATACTAACATCACATGCAGGATTGGTGACTCAATTCCGTCCAAATAGGTAAGCAATAGTTAAACATTATGAAAAAGATGTTTTATTTATTGAATTCGAGCCGTGTTGCACTTACTACTGTGTGTGTCGCCTGTGACTTGAAGCATCTTTCATATTGTATTTTACCTGACGTATCATAACTAAATTTAGTAACAATATGTAAACAAACACTTTACTGATAACATGTTCAGTTATAAATTACAAATTTTATCAGAGAATCTAATGAGAACGCCCTTGGTTTTAAAATTTCGTTAGTCAATGAATTGTTTGGCGTATCATTTATGTTTAATAATGAGACAGAAACCCAACAAAGTAATTACACTCAATCTACAATTTTGAAAAGTCCCACTTCTTTCCTTGTTAAAACTTTATAGTCTACTGAAGATTCGTTTTCTTATATACAGACTAATCTGGGACTATAACAGGAATATATATTAGATCCAATATTAGTCATAGCTTTCAACAGATCGTTCATCAGAGAGAGAGAGAGAGAGAGAGAGAGAGAGAAAAGAAAAACCTAGAAAAACCTACACATAATGAAAAACAATTAAGAACCAAAGAACACATCACCAAACCTTTACTCAAAGCAAATATAATTAGTAGAAAAAGTGAAATGTGTCCAATTAGTACAGATACCCCGTTTTTTGTCCGTTACAAGTTAAACATAAATATATATATTTTGATAAATATAATACAAATTTCTAGCTGGAATTAACTGTCAGTAATAGTTAAAAAGTACGCTAAACACGTATTTCGCAAATAAAAACTAAACAGTAAAACTGAACTTAACATCTTATTGAATTATCCTTACTTTGGTTTACCGATTATCTGATTTTGTTTGATATTTACCGGTGCTAATTCCAAATTAACGAAAAACATATCATATATAGGACAATACTTACCACAAGGACATTATGAGAATCCGAAAGATAATATTAAGCTTTACTTTCAACAATGTTTTGGATTGGCCACGATGTCCATTGTTTGGATGAATACAAAAAAAAAGTCAATCCAAATTGCAGTTGTGTTCTACCTTTCGGCATTTATAATTTGACAACCTGTTTATATAAGCCACAATGGCCTGTGATACTACGAATTCAAAAATGTTTCCGGTGTTGAATAAATTCAGGGGCAATTGTTAACATCTTACTTTATCCAACTAACGCCATATATACATGAATGCTTTGATAAAATAAACCCCTAAATTTAAAACATTTTTATATCATGTTAGCGAGAAAAAGTTTGAACGAAACGTCAGAATGAAATTGACAAATTTGATCACATTTGCTTTGGTTCATAAAAAAGAATGGCCAACATAGATACAAGTATCTTGTCTTAGAGAGGGATAAATCGTACTTTGTAAAGAATCACACTGATTCAAACAAAAAATTCTCTGAAACTGGCATTATCAAGATGCTTGATTTCTTGATTGACAACATATTTGTTACGTTTGGAGGACGTGTTTTTCAACAGACTGTCGGCATTCCAATGGGAACCAATTGAGTCCCCCTTCTTGCCGACTTGTCCCTTTATTATTATGAGGCTGAATTCATACAGGAACTTCTTAGGATCTTAGCAATATCCTTTAACTTTACTTTCCACTATGTAAATGATGTTCTCTCACTAAATTATTCAAAATTTGGTGACTATGTTGAACGCATTTATCCCATCGAACTAGAGATAAAGGATACAACAGATACAGTTAAGTCTGCCTCATATCTTGACTTACATCTAGAAAAAGGTAATGAGGGTCGGTTGAAAACAAAAATTACGACAAACGAGATGATTTCAGCTTCCCAATTGTGTACTTTCCATTTCTATGTAGCAACATTCAAGCCGCGCCTGCATACGGAGTATATGTCTCCTAATAGATACGATATTCCCGCACTTGTATTTCCTATCATGATTTCCTTGATAGAGGGTTGCTGCTCACAAGGAAGCTATTAAACCAAGAGTTCCAAATGGTGCAGTTGAAATCATCCCATCGTAAATTTTACGGACGCCATCACGATTTGGTTGACCGTAATGGAATAACCGTTTCACAGATGATATCGGATATGTTTCCTACGTCGTAACTATAATCCCCTTCCCTTTTCATGACTGTGAAAAGTAAAACCACAAAAAATACTGAACTCCGAGAAAAGTTCAATCGTAAAGTCAATAATCAAATGGCAAAATCACATGACAAAACACATCAAACGAATGGACAACAACTATTCCTGACTTGGTACAGGCATTTTCAAATGTAGAAAATGGTGGATTGAACCTGGTTTTATAGCGCTAAACCTCTCACTTATATGACAGTCGCATCAAATTCCGTTATATTTACAACGATGCGTGAACAAAACAGACACAACAAACAAAAGTCAAAATATGGGTACAGCAGTCATCACTGTGTTAAAATCTCAAAATAAACAATCATATACAAAAAGGCACAAAAGCATCTATCAAATCAAAAAACACATTCATTGCTTTGCGTGTCTGACGTCAGAAAATGTAAACGTCATATCACCTACCGAATTAAACTATTTACCGGGTTTGAAATAACATGAGGAACACGACGGGGTCACATGTGGAGCAGGATCTGCTTATCCTTCCGGAACACCTGAGATCACTCCCAGTTTTTGGTGGGGTACGTGTAGCTCAGTCCTTAGTTTTCTATGTTGTTTCTTGTGTACTGTTTGTTTGTCTTTTTTTTTTAGTCATGGCGTTGTCAGTTTATTTTCGATCAATGAGTTTGACTCTCTCTCTGATACCTTTCACCCCTCCTTTATGTTCTTTTGGTTTGATCACAACCCCAATGGACACTAAAAATAGGTTTAATATTTTCAAATATTATGATCTCGTGGATCACTGCAGTGACATTAATTGTCCAAATGAACATTTGGCGCGGTACAATTTTTACCGTTAAAGTTCTTAAGCGTCTAAAATGCATGTGTAATATTATTGGTCCTACAGCCGAGATGAAAAATAAGATCATATCATTGGTTGAATAAATTTTATATAGATGTTGTTAACCAATTACAACGTTTTTGTGAAAGCTTTTGAAAATATACTGTATCCTAGAATGCATTTGATTCTGCAATGGCGAATACGGTATAGCTCACTGCATCGTATACTGTGGATTCATTTATTTTCGGGGGTACTAATTTTCGTGGATTGAGGAAAACTTGCATTTTCGTGGATATTTGAGTTCGTTGTTTTGGAAAAGTCTGCATACATTCCTTTACACTTAAATTCGTGGTTCCCCTGTACCCACGAAATCCACTTAAATTATTATTCAACGAATATTAATGAATCCACAGTATGTGTATCAAACGTTGGTTCATTTTCCTATAATTGACCATAACCTCTGTAGGTGTACGTTTACAAAGTTTATTTTATATATCAACTATATATATATATGCAGATGTCCGGTGCTTTATGAAGTGTCTTGGTAACTTTTCTGCTACCAGTTTAAACACGTTTAACTGTTGACTTAGACCTGAGCGGATGTCATTGTAAGGAAATCTTATCGAAAGTGCTTTGAATGCAATCAACAAGTTTTCGTGTTTGATAACATGAGTAACAAAGAATGCTAGTGATTTAATTACTAAAATTAAATATTTGCTAAAATTAAATATTTAGGCAGCCAAACATTCTTTTGGAAATTTAGCATTTAGTATACCTAGCATAAGCTTTATACTAAATTCTCTTTGTAAATGAAAAATAAATGTTTTGTTGGAGGATAGCTCACTTGATGTCTCGAAGACATTAACATCATTTGACAGAAAGTACGGACGCATGTGCATATATCCCCCATCAACAAATCGCAGAAGAAAATGGTACATCTTTATAGTTATCTCAGATACTTCAAGTCCATCTTCTAATTGGTTCTTCATTTTGAGTTCGTCCAGTACATAAAACACGCTATTTTTTAACATATAGCTTTTAATTAATGTAGATGGTCTTGTGCGACGTGGTTTTTCATATTCGCTGTCTTCTTCCTCCAGCTTGTATTGTTTTGTTTCAACATTAATATCAGGACATACGTTCTTCAAAACTTTTGCCAGGATATAAGCTTGCCGAAAATCATCGGGTAATGACTTCATAAGGCATATCTCTGCAGGAGCAGCTGAAATGCGCAACAATCTCTTCTTTGCTTGTTCTTCTTCAGGGTCTTTAGTGTAACAGGTTCGGCTAATACAGTCCTTGTCGTGAAGAGGAATTTGGTGCGCTTTTGTTTGCAGCGTCAGGAAACAGCCGGCTGCTTTGATGTCTGGACTAACGAGAGGTATTTTGTCAATATCAGTATTTATTGGCCACCATCCTCTTTTGTATACTGCCGGAACAAGATCTATACTGATTCTCAATTGCTTATAAACAGAACCAAGCCAATATACATCAAATGTAAACACGGGTTTGGTGAAAAGTTTTACCATGCTATTTTCAACATTATAGTAGAAATTTCCCTCCTTCCATTGATGAGATTCATTCAGTGCTCTTTTCAAATAATCGTAGAATAACCTCAGAAACAAAATAGGCAAGAAATAGCCGTCAGCATCAGTAAATGGTAGATACTCGTCAAAAACTTGTGTAGTTTTAAATTTGAGAGAAGCGAATCCAGATTTCAAAAGATTGTCTGTCATTACAATGTCAGTGATATCATTTAACTTATCAAGACATAAAATAAAATCGAATTCATCTGGACGGCCAATTTTTGTTCCTTCAGCCATACTTCCAGATGGAAAAACTGACATTTCAAATCTAGAATCGTATTTTTGAATTTGCGTGCAAAGTGACGTGACAAGATTATTAACATCCAATGTGACAGATTCTACTTCAGGAGAATATTTTGGACTTCTAGTATAGTACGACTCGAGAAGGTAGTTCATGAAGTCCTTTAAATTCAAGGGTAGTTCTAGTAGTGTCTGAATATCTTGTGGTGATATGATACAAGACGATATTATCGTCTCCGGTAGTCCATAAAGAATCTCTTCGAACGTCTTGTCTCTATGCATTGATTTTCGAAAGGATGTGTGTTCTACAGCCGTTCTGTCTGCTGCTTTTAATAGCGCAATGCAACGAAAACTATTGTGTCTCTTTGCTGTGTCCAGAGGTCTCTCTTGGAGATTGTCGCGAGCATTCATATCTGCACCAAATAATAACAATATCTCTATTTGTTCCTCATAATTGTGATACGCTGCAAAATGCAGTGGCGTAGATCCATACATGTCACTGGTATTCAAATTAACTGTCCCCTTAACAAGGAAAGCTCTGAATAAATCTGGCATAGGTCTATATTTCATGATAGAAACCAACGCACTTCGTCCCCATCTATCGTAAATTTTGCAATCTGCATTGAACTCACAAAAAATATTGAAAATATGCTCACTTAACGTCAGGGATAAAACAGATTCCCCGTACATGTTTTGTGCGTTTATGTCAGCACCTATTTCCAGGAGATATTCCAATACATCGCCATACACATATCCATGTGAAACACCACAAATTTGATGCAATACTGTGTTTCCAAGTGTATCATTGACTTTAGGAGACACACCATAGCTAAGAATTGTTTTAAGATTTTCGGCAGATGTAGTGTAACCTGATCCGCCAATCATTAAATTCCATGGCGTTTTTCCAAAAACATCTCTACTGGATAACAATGCCCTCAAACTAGATTGATCATATTTTGCAATGCATTCAAGCAATTCGAAAATATCTTCTAATAGTTCGTGGGTAACATAAACATGCAAAAAGTTTTCATTCTTTATGTTTATCAAATTTAAATTTGTGTCCGGAAAATTTGAAATAAAAAACTTCAATAATGGCGTGTTTTCCTCCCTCGTAGCAATGAGATGTAGGATACCGTCTCCAAATGTAGTCTGATTGTTCACATCGATTCCGGCATTGATGAGAGCTTGCAAAGACTTTCTTAGATCGATACTAAATGTTTTTTTCATACGACCGTATAAACAAAGTGGAATTTTGAATATGTCAGCGTCATCGTCATCATCACCTGGAAGGCAAATACTCATTACAGGCAAATTGTCATCTGAATTGTTACTTTCGCCATCATTTGCAGCAATGAGACTCTGAAGGGCATTGTATCCGTTTATATCTTTGCTATTGACATCAATACCAGAGTACTTTGTCAATATCTCAATATTTCGTAAACAACCAGCTATGGCAGCATATTGGAGTGGCGTTTGACCCCACTTATTACGGGCGTTGACGTCGACGCCCTTTGTCAATAAGTTCTCAATGTCATTTTTCCCGTCATGGTTTTCATTTTTGGCTGCTAAATGTAGAGGTGTTTCACCTTTTGTGTTTACTCCGTTGTATTTGCGAAATTCACTTCTTGTAGCCATTTCTCAATTAAGAAACCTCACAAAAAGGTATTATTTTCAGCAGTTGAAAAGCCCACAGTAATGTTTCACTTCCCATCTCAATTATCTATTCACTACATTGCATACTAGCAGTTGACTTCATAATTTGAACTCGATTTACAAGTTGAGCAATTGCATCAATCATTGGCAGGCAGAATAGAATGTCTTGCTTACAATATCTGCAGAATAAAAAAGATCTTAAAGATAATTAAACAATAAATATTTTTTGAATTTGTAATTTTTTAAATCCTATTTTACCATATTTAACGGATATACACACAAGTATATGTGCTTTGTCAATAGATTGGCAGTTTTGTGACGAAGTTGATATCTGCTAAGCATTAGATCGTATTGTCGTCACCGTTTAGGGTGTTTTTTTAAGATATCATTTTCATTTCTGTGTCACACAATCTAGACGTTTGTTCATAGGTTTTTAACAGATAGATAAAATATCAACAACATACCCTAACTCTGATGGCAATGGTTTTGAATATGTTTCTCTTAAATAACTGAACTGCAAAGTAATTTGCTATTGAAGTGAAATACCATCAAATCATAGTACGCCATTGCATACGAAAAAAGATCGAAAAAATATTTCCCTTGAATTTGACAGTTGAAGGAAATCAATCCAACATTTCCTTGCACACACTGGAATGTCTCGCCTTTTTAACTTAACTTTGATAATATGTTGATAGTCCTTAATAATATAAAGCTTTACTACAACTATAACATAAACTTAACATGGTCCAAGAAAATAAGGTCAAGGTCATATAAACCAAACAAGAAATACATGTACACCTTACAATCTTCAATACACTAAATGTAGTTGACCTATTGCTTATAGTTTCTAAAAATCAGACTTAACCAAGAAAGCTAAACATTAACCAATGAACAATGAAAATGAAGTCAAGGTCAGATGAACCATGCCAGGCAGACATTATGGAACGCCAAAACTGTCTTGTTGTGACCATTTTCATTATATGATGTGCATTTACCTTTATATGATGTGCACTTGTCATTATATGATGTGCATTTACCTGTGCAAACACCTTTATATGACGTGCAAATATCTTTATATCATGTGCAAGTATCTTTATATGATGTCCAAACATCTTTATATGATGTCCAAACATCTTTAAATAATGTCCAAATTTACTTTTATGATGTGCATAAATACTTATATGATGTGCAAATGTACTTATATGATGTGCAAACATACTTATATGATGTGCAAACATTCTTATATGATGTGCAAATGTACTTATATCATGTGGAAATATCCTTATATGATGTGCAAATGTACTTATATGATGTGCAAATATACTTATATGGTGTGCAAAAATCCTTATATGATGTGCATTTTCCCTTATATTATGTGCATACACCTTTATATGATGTGGTTGTGTCATTATATCATGTGCTTGTAATCTTATATCATGTGGTTAGGTTAACTTCATTATATGAAGTAGAAACGTCATTATATCATGTGCTTTCATCGTCGTTATGGTCAATGAACATGATTACGATTATAATGATTACTGTCTACGTCATAACTGTTTCTGATCTGCTTCTGCGGAATAGATATAAATCCCGGCTTAAATCTGTAGCTATCGTTTTGAAAATACTTGCGATTTAAGAAGAGAAAAACCTTGACATGTTGGTTCCTCGATTTAAGATGAAAGAAATCGATGGGTCTACAATAATGAACGTACGGGGTCTACAATTATGAGCATACAGTTAGTTATTAAGTGTAAGAAATAGTTCTTAAATCTGTTTTTATCGCAATCGAAAGTGCATTTTCAAGATAAAGTGAGACAGTCTCAGTGCAATTTAACAAAAATTAAAGTTTCAAACATTTCGGAGGAAAATTAAGATCAATTAATACAGGAGCTAGTTGAAGAATTTCCCGGTTGCAGCGAAAATATGATAAAACAAATTCTTGGGCTCTCACTTATAGCTTGCTGTTCGGTTTGATCAAAGGGTCTGTATTGAAAGCCGTAATTTGACCTATAATTGTTTACTTTTTTCACATTATGACTTGGATGTACAGTTGTCTCATTGGTAAGATCTTGCCCCAAGCTGATAGACAAGTTGTCTAAGTTCTAATTAATTTCATGTTGTTTTTTTTATTAACAATAGCAATCAATATACTGGACAATTGATTACCACGATGATAGTTTTGGAATAGAACAACATTATTTAATGATTTCACATTTATATCAAATCTATTAAAACTGAAAAACAAATTCCGGTTAACCGGTTAGCGTTTTTCGTAATCGATATTCGGTCCTTCCGACGGTTAACCATTGGCAGGCATACCATATCTTCTTATTTCTATTAATTGCAAAAGACACCAATGAACTCAAAGTCAATTTTAAAAATATTTCATAACGACAGCTACAAAATTTTTTACTCTTGCATAATTATTCCGGAATGGATGATTGGTTGATAAATTTGTTGATTGATGATTGGTGTTTAACGCCACTTTCAACACTATCATTCTATTTCGTGGAAGTGAGTTTATATTGATGGAAGAAGCCGAAGTCCCCGGAGAGAACCACCGACTTTACCTGCCACGTGTGGGATTCGAACTCACAACCTAAGTGTTGACAGGCTAGATATTCAAACCACTCGGATACCGAGGCCCCCTGAAAAAATGAATTAAAGGAGATATGGAATGATCTTTAACTCGGTGCATAACATTTGCGTGCATGTTTTTATTATGTTGTCATGCATTTATTGCACAGCTTGACTTGCATGATTATGAATGGATGATTGACGTCAAGCGGAAAATTGATATATATAAAAAAAAAGAAGATGTGGTATGTTTCCCAATGAGATACTTCTCCACAAGACACCAAATGACACAGAAATTAACAACTATAGGTCACCGTACGGCCTTCAACAATGAAGCCCGTACCGCATAGTCAACTATAAAAAACGGCCCCGAAATGACAAATGTAAAACAAATTAAACGAGAAAACTAACGGCATAATTTATGTACAAAAAATGAACGAAAAACAAATACCAGTATGATGTAAAACATCAATAAACGACAACCACTGAATTACAGGCTCCTGATTTGGGACAGGTGCATATTCGTACGAGAACATATTAATGTGAAATGAATATAAACCCTGTTTTGTACTAGACCGACACCCTGAGCCGGATTTTTAACATGCTAGTTAATAGTCTCGATCATCCAGCCGCTTTATTTTTCATATATGCGTCTGGGTAATCCAGACTAGCTAAGGGGGGGGGGGGGGGGATGGGTTGGTTGGTTGGTTGGTTGGGGGGGGGGGGGCACATTTTCTTGTTAATTTTTTATTCCAAATTTCAGAAGGGAATCAAAATAATTGTTTCCATTGAAATGAGAGAGAACCAAAAACGAAATTAAAGAAAAACAATAATGAAATTAAAAAAAAATAACCATGTTATTTAAAAAAAATCGATAAATATGTTTCTCCTGGAACAAGGAGGTACACGTGCTCCGGCCCACACTAGATGAAGAGTCGGTGTCTAACCAATCTGGTTAAGATACAATGTACAGATAATCTGTCTAAGCTGTGATTACAATGACCTGACAACACTTCATTTACATCGCGATGACCGTGAAGGCTTTCCGATATATTGTCGCCACGGAGATTTACTTTGAAATTCGTTTTTGACTGGTAACCGATCGTATAAAAACGCAATCCAACAATAAAATAGTGATTACGGTGAGGTTGAATTCATTGTTATTTATTAATTATCCACGCACGAACTTGCTTCCAAAAAAAATGTATCTCTGTAAATTAACCTCACTTACAGTATAGAGATGTGATTTTTTTTTTAGACAAGTGCGTGTGACCATCCACAAGAACTTTCGGTCATCCGATATTCAGTACTTCAGTCCTTTGATACTTTCGGTTCTGGTAAATATTACATCAGTCAATGAAATTCAGCCTTCACATTTTTGAAGGTGTATATAAATTCGTCAAAACCGAGAATCCCATTTAATGGTCTTTAAACAGAAAATAGAATGGAGCGTTTTCAGATCCGCGTAAGCATAGCTTCGACACACAATATCTGTAATTTAATTAGATTGGTGTCTAAATGAACATAAAACACTGCATTTATTTATTGTTTACTGAGGCCTGGTGGTCTCTGACAGATAGAGAGTAGTGTTTTAAATTTGTCTAAGTGAAGATTTACGGCGGTGACTGTGTCGCTCACCTTGGTATATGTGCACATTAAATCAAAGGACACAGATGGTTTCATGACAAAATTGTGTTTTGGTGATGGTGATGTGTTTGTAGATCTTACTTTACTGAACATTCTGACTGCTTACAATCATCTCTATCTATAATGAACTTGGCTCAGTAGTTACAGTGGAAAATATTTTGTTACAATTTACAAAAATTTACAAAATTTATGAAAATTGTTAAAAACTGACTATAAATCGCAATAACTCCTTAAGGGGTCAATTCACTATTCTGGTCATGTTGACTTATTTGTAGATCTTACTTTGCTGAACATTATTGCTGTTTACAGTTTATCTCAATCTATAATAATATTCAAGATAACAACCAAAAGCTGCAAAATTTTCTTAAAATTATCAATTCAGGGACAGCAACCCAACAACGGGTTGCCTTATTGGTCAAAACTATCAGGGCAGATAGATCTTGACCTAATGAACAATCTTATCGCCGTCAGTTTTCTCTTAATCTAATGCTTTGGTTTCTGAGATATGAGGCAAAAACTGCATTTTACCATATGTACTATTTTTAGCCATGTCGGCCATCTTAGTTCGCGGGCGGGGTCATCGGACACATTTTGTAAACTATAAACCCTAATGATGATTGTGGACAAGTTTGGTTAAATTTGTCTCAGAAGTTTCAGAGGAGAAGATTTTTGTAAAAGATTACAAAAATTTACGAAAAATTGTTAAACATTGACTATAAAGGGCAATAACTTTCCAAGGGGTCAACTGACCACTTTGACCATGTTGACTTATTTGTAGATCTTACTTTGATGAACATTATTGTTGTTCACAGTTTATCTCTATCTATAATAATATTCAAGATAATAACCAAAAACCGCAAAATTTCCTTAAAATAACCAATTCTGGGGCAGCAACCCAACAACGGTTGTCCGACTAATCTAAAAATTTCAGGGCAGATAGATCTTGACCTGATAA